GCGAGATTTTTAATGTAGCATTCTTCGAAAATCTGAGGGCGCCAAAGGCTCTTTCGATCATTTTTTCCAAGGGTTCGGGGGTGTTTTTCTTGGACAAACGTCAGGATAGAATTTCTAAGGCTACCTATGGTGCGCTCCTCGCATCCAGTTGTTCGGTGATCATTAACAGGCGATTTTATTGTTTCAATACCCTCCCCATTACAGAATGCCCTAATCTCATTCGTCATAAAACTCGTGCCCTGATCCACATGAATTTTTCTTGGTACTCCATGGTTCGTTATATAGCTTTTCAAAAACTTTAGTATTTTATCAGATCGATTATTTCCACAGACCATCTGCCGAGGGCCAACGAGAAAACCGATCAACCGCCACTAACACATATTTTCGGGATTCATTTAAGTAGTTAATGGGTCCTCAAAAATCCAGTTGAACTGATTCATTTGGTTCCTTCGGTTCAGGTATATTTCCTAGCTGATTTTTTCTTAAGATCGTTTTTAAGTTCTTACCAGCGGCGGTGCATTCGGGACAGTCCTCAGCTATTGAAGCTATTGAGCGGTAAATATACGGGTACCAAACATCTTTGGCCGCATCGAACATATTAGATTTTCCGTGATGATATGCATGAATTCTATTGTTAATCGCCGTTTGTAAGTTCATAGGTATTACAAGTTTTTCTTCCATCCACACTACGTTCTCCTTCACCGAAAAGTCGTTAACAAATTGGGAATAAGAACGGTTCATAGCATTAAATTTCTCATGAATATTAGGATCCTGAGAAACTATAAGGTCGCGAATTGCGCTCAACTGGGGGTCAGAAACATAATTGGACTCAATCAACTTTAGATTAAACAAATCCGGTAAAGAAGTGATTTTATTAACAATCTTGCAATTCCGAGGGATGATTGACATACATATCGAATTGGGATCTACATGTGGTATTTTTTCACCCTTAAATGCTGAAGGTAACGAAAGTGTAGTATTGATCCGGACTGATTTGGTTTCTTTAGTAATAGCTTCCAAGGATACGGTGTTCTGAGGTATTTCTTCAATTTCATCACTACTACTGTTTAGACTTGGGTGCTGCTGTAAGAATTTCTGCCATTTCCTCTTGTTTTTATCCATTTCGATCCGAGATTCTGAATTTTTGAATGTACTCGGGAGATTTAAACAATTTTCTTTCGATTGAATAATAGCACCAACTAATTTTCCGCGTATTTTGCGTAGCCGTCGGTTCGAACCATGTGTTCGATTCTGATTGGTCGATTCCCGCTCGCATGACATTCCACCCTCTACCGGTTCATTTCGTGACGAAACTTTCAATCTATTTATAGATTGTTTACTTTCCGCTTTAATATGCGGTTCCTTGGATTGGTAATTGGATGATTTGTATCCCCTGATTGCATTGTTCTTATTAAACCCGAGAGCGGCACGAATTAAGTTGATCTTTGCCACAGTAAACATGTTATCATATGTACTAATTGGCGTTGCTTCATTACATGGATGACGGGACAAATAATCTGCTAGCCCAATTTTCGCCCCTGGTTTCTGTTCAATTTGAAAATCAAAGGGAATGAGCCGATCTAACCAACGCGTTAAACGGCTAAACATCGTCTTGTTTTTCTTATTATTACCGTTCAAAAGAGAGATTAACGCGTTGTGATCGGTCATGATTAAAAAATTCTGTCCCAATATGTAATTCGGAAAATACTCAGCCCCCCACACGACTGCCAACATTGTCAATTCATTCGTCGAATATTTCTTTTCCGCTTCGTTAAGGTATCTTGAAGCAAACGAAATCGGTCTCCACCCCTCCGTTCCTAATTGTTCAAGTACAGCATCGAGGGAGGCCGTTATGACTTGCGTCGCTCACGATCCAAATATCCTTGTGGATATCAAAATGTCGCAATTTAACAATGTTAGACACTTGTTTTTTTTTTAGATTTTCAAACGCGTTCTGGCATTCTGAAGTCCAAATGTATTCAATACTTCTACTTAGTAATGGGCGCAACGGTGCGGATGATTCAGCTAACGCTGGCAGATACTTGTGGAGACTGTGTATTGACCCCATGAACGACTTGAGTTGAGTCAAAGTTCGTGGCGTTGTTAATGCTTCGATCGGTTCTGTTTTCCGCACCAGCGGAGTTATTCTAGTTGATGTTATTTTTTGGCGTAGGCACTCGCATTCCCGTTGTGCGAACTTGCATTTTGATAGTTTTAGAGACATATTTTCCTTATCCAGTTTTTTTTAAGAATTTTCTCTACCGTTGCTGTATGGTCGATCGCGGTTCCCTTGGATACAACAAAAATATCGTCGATGAACGCATGCGCCTGCGGATATTCCGCAAGGATACAATCCATTGCTCGCTGAAATTCCGCTGGCATCGTAGTCAAGCCATAGAATCCGGTCTTGAACCGGTACGTTCCTGTCGATCTACCTACGGATGAGAGAAAAATTACATTGTACACTCGTTTCAGCGCTTAGTGGCAATTGACCATCCGCATATGTTAGATCCATCGTTGTAAAAAATATATCCCCGGATTTTTTCTAGCTAATCGTTTGTGCTACTGTGTCCATTGACTCTTCAATATTCGGCATTTGATATTTGTTCTTATGCACATGTTTATTTAATTCCCTGGATTCGAGCGCTAGTTTTACAACCATCCTTCTTTACCGTTATGACGATTGGGGACACAAAGTATTTATCCGAGCATTCCGTTAGCTTTTCGATATGCCCTTGTTTCAGTAGTTTATCAATTTCAGCATCCACCTTTTCTTGCAATGAAATGGGAACTCGTCGTCCCTTTTGTTGTACTGGGATGAGGTTTTCAAAAAATTCTGCTGTACTTCATAATTTCTTATTTTCCCCACCCTATTCAAAAGGTTTGAAAACTGCTTGCTGAAGTAGGTTTGCCACCAGTCGAACTCCCCCTCTGGCACTGATGGTTCCGGATCCACTTCATCGATGGACATTATCTGGTCCCCTGGTGGTGATTGTTGCACCAACTGTAGTCCGAATTGAGGCATCAAGTCTCTTCCAATTATCGATGGGCGATTTCCTCCTATGACTTTTATCCTTGCGTTTATCGTCCAGCCATTGGATTCTATCGTGACAGCCATCGCTCCAATCATCTGCAGTGGATTGTTCCCTTAATCCCGAAATGCATTCTCCTCCTTCGAAAGGGTATCCAGTTTTATCCCCGAAGCTCCCAACGTTCTTCTCAGTTCACCAATGGTGAAAATTGAAATTGGAGAGGCGCTATCAATCCAAATGTTCTTGTTTACCCATCCGATGGAACTTGCATGCTGGGACGCTTCTTCGTCCGCTGAATTATCCAAGTGTGTCTCGCCTACATTCTCACGTATCATTCCCACTGCTCCCCGTCCTGGCTGATTTCCGCGCTTCCCTCTACAGGTACGTTCGTAATGTCCGATTTTATGACAAAAATTACAGGTAACTCCTTCTGCCGGACATCTATCCAAATGCTCTCTCGTAAAGTTTAGTTGATCGCAGTTGTAGCATCGATTGTTTTGAAACAATTTTCCACCTCGGTTCGAGCCTCGGCCTTGATATGAGCCTCTGCCTCTTGCGCGATTATTTCGATATCCTCCACGGATCGTTCCAACCGGTTCTGATTTAATCTGAATCCCACCGCCTGAAGATGTTCCTTGGGTTCCCAACGATCCCGTGGCGACATAGGATGTGGCACATTTGTTACCCCGCTCGTACGAGAGGGCTATACGGTAAACCTCCTCCGGTGTTTTTGTTGACCTGCACAGTTCTTTTTGTGCTTCACGGTTATTCATATTGACAATGAATACATCCCTTAATATACGGTCTTCCAATACTCCAAAATTGCATCGCGCCGCCAATCCGCTCAGTACAGAATGGAATTGCTCCAAAGTTACCGATAGTTAATTCTGTTTCTATGTTAAAAGAAATGTATAAGTATTTTTCAACTAGTTTGTTTTTCGTCTAATGCTTTTTGTACTGGTTAATGCTGTTTCTGTTCTGGTCATTTTAACACTGTAATGGGTTTAATTTGTTGCCATGTGGTCTGGTTGATTTCTTTGTTTTTTAGTTTAAATTTTCCTGCTCTCTAATAGTTTGGAATAGTTTCATTTGTTTAGTATTATACAGTGCTGATTTAAAATTATCCGGACAAAATGAACAAAACTAGAAAGATCAAATGCGTTTTTCTTCAATTGGGTTAAAATTAGACAACCAGTGAAGAGAACGAAATTGTTTAGAGTTTCATGAGAATTAATATGGTGGAATTTGTTTTCAAGTTTCTGCGAAAAATTTACCCCAAATATGGATCATTTCGGCTTTTTTTAGTAATTCAAGATTTACGCTGAATTTACCACATAAATTGATTAAAAAAAACTTATATCAAAAGCAGCCTCTTACTTAGCCCAACGAAGCTTTAGAAGGAGATTCGTTACAAGGTATCATAGGGGGTGAAATTGTTAAAAAGATCCAATAGCGCAAAACGTTGGTAAATTTATTTTTAAGCAAATCTTTTGGATTTTTTTTATAGTAAAATCACATTTTTGACTATCAAGAAAAAAGAAAAATACTTTCTCCTATACAAGTTTTTGGAGATTTTACTTTTTGAGATATTTGTTGGGCTGTCTAAGAGACTTCTTTTGATAAAGGTTTTTCATCAATTAGTGTGGTAAATTCAGCCATAATCACCCATTTCTCGGGAAAAGTTTAGATTTCGAAATTCGCAAAAAAATGCACCTTAATAATTCTGTCGAAATTCTAAGCAAAATTTGTTCTCTTCTTTTTTTGTCGAAGTGGTTTTTCCTTTTCCTTCCTTTAGAGCTACTTTTTGCCGTTTTCTCGCTTGTGTTTGCGAAGTACAGCCTCTTCTCTGTGCGTTGTTTATTTGTTTGTCAGTTGGTTAGAAGATTTATCTGCAACTTCCCAGAAATTCTTAATTTTTGTTAATGATATATATATGCTCCTTTTAACTACTCAATGCTTCGTGTTAAGGTCAGACGTGCAGTCGGTCTCTCATCTTCTTTTTCGTCCGTGTCTTCTGCTTCTTCTGCAGACAAGCAGCAGTTGGGGAGCGAGGTGTTAAGTATGGACAAACTGCAGACTCTAATAGTGGATCAGTATGGCACCCAACTCAACAATCACCTACAGCCCTTTCTCTACTTCCAGGTTCGTATATTATTACTACATCAAGGTTAATATCGTATTACCACATCAAAGCAAAATGTGTCACAATATTTTTTCATAATATTCGTCGGCCGGTTTGATTAAAAGTAGCTGTTCTCATTGCAATTTTTTTTTTGATTATTATGAATACTATTCATAATAGTATGAACGCCTTTAGAAAAGTTTTAAGGTTGGTCAGCCGAAAATGGATGTCGTAAGGTTATACCAAAGGGAGTCCCTTTGGAAAAATTTGGCAACCCCCACCCCCTCGGCACGCTATTGACGAATAGAATGATTGTTTTAAGGCTGAATATTTGAAGTTTAAATATTTGAACATATCAATTGACATCACTGATCAAATAATTTGTTACGACTTTTGTCATTTAAATACAAGCGAGAAATTGAAGTAGAATGAACAAATTAATTAATATTTCTAGAAACATAACATTCAACGTATATGATAGGTTGTAAAACTGACATTTATCTAAGCTGGCCTGATCAAAAAAAATTGAAGTCAGTTTCTTGAGCAGATAGAAGTGCATAGATGTAATCAAAAATAGCCAAAAAATGCATATAATTCTCAAGCAGGGGTGCAACAGCGGTTCTCCGTAAAGTGTTTAACAGCTTGTATGTTGGTCCATTCCCTTGCGGATAAGTCGTCTCAAATTAACTAATCTTAATTTAGCTTAACTTCTTAAAACTTTACTAATACTAATGGACTAACCTTCGACATGCCTGTTAAGACCTACTGATAGCTCATCTGCGAATCGCAGGAACCGCAAAAAAAACTAATTTAATATGTCATATTTGAGCATAATGAACAGATTATTTAATGATTCTTGAAATTACGTTCAGCTTCATTGATAAGTTGTACATCGCTTATTTATTTTGCAGGTTTTATGGCTTTGTGGGCTGTTTGAAGACTCAATTGAGTTCCTGTTTCGGAACCAACAACTAAGATGCCATGCCGTCCACATAGCACTTGCTCTCCTTGAACAGAACCTGCTTATCCAATCAGATTCAAGCGGCACTTCTGCTTCAGGCGGACAGTTGATAACTGTGAAAAGATACAACCAAGTGCAATATAAACAGTTGAATTTCGCCAGACTTGTTATGCTCTACGTGAAGAACTTCGAAAAGAGCAATCCGGCTGAGGCTTTGCAGGTACGCCAATTGAACGCTTTTTCTCTGTGGTATTTTTGATTTAAATCCAATATCGGACAGGTCTCCGAATTTAGTCTTTTTATGTCCGGCGGAAATTCAAAATTAGTTTTTCAATCCAATATCGGGCGGGTATTCAAAATTAGATTTTGTTTCGACCATTGAAAATGTGGAGAAACTTTGTATTCGGGTGTGTTTTAGTTTTTTTCACTTTTAAAAAATTTTTAACGGTTTTTTCGTTTTTTTTTAAGTTAATTTTTTATTTTTAAACAGTTTTCCAATGGGACCATATTACTATAACTGCCGAATATGCCTAAGTTCTATTTTTTCGTTCAGATCTTTATCACACCACGTAGAACAAACGCTTTTTGTATTTTTAAGACTTTGGTCTGAACGTTCTGTGCTACTTGCACAGAAACCGGCTACCCTTGTTTATTTTGAAATTAGTTTATTTATTTACAAAGGAGTGACTTAATACGCTTAAGAAGCTTTGTTCATAATTGATGAGCTTTGAATGCCCGTGAATTTTTTTGAAATCATTTTAGTTTGCTGCACCCAATTAATGATTTTAAAACATAAAGACGTATTGGTTTTTAGTATCTTTTCTTGCTTCGAAACTCGCAAACCATATCGGGAGTAGGAGGATCTGTAACTGCTATGGACATGTCTTCTCCCTCGTGTGATAATCTCTTCTGGCAGTGTGTGGCCGAACTCGCGATGGAGACGAGAGACTACGCCACACTTTTTGGAACTCGCGATTTCAGTGATGTCAGACACGGTGGATTAATTGACCGGTAAGAGTGACTTTTTGGATCGCGCAATAGATCTGCATGCTTTCAGCTGATATTACCACAGAAGTTGTTCCGTAAATTTTCAGAGTGAGAAAGAATTTCTGGTTCAGGCTTGATTTTTTGCAAAACGGCCAAGTGAGACATCATTGTAGAGTGGTTTCAGCAGTGATTCGAAGTTCACAAAAATGCAAAAACTGGGCAAAATAATTATTAATATGATTTGTTTTATTGACAGACTGGACCCGGAAAACTCTCTGGCAGTAATTGGACGTGTGGCGAGTGCATGTGAGCGACAGGGTCTGCTGGAAGACGCCGTCTACCTGTTCGATCTGGCAGGACAGAAGGACAGATCAGTGGACATTGTGAACAGGATCCTGGTGCCACTAGTGCCCAGTGTGGACAACAAAGGTGAGTGTGTTTGTGTGAACCAACTAGCCGAAGTATGATTGGTCGAATTGAGGAGCAGATTATATGAGGGTGAAAACAGGGTCTTTATAGTGTTCTGGGAGTGCTCGGAAAATCAATGTGGTCGACCTACAGAAGGTCGACAAAAATGTCGGATATTTTTTTGAAAACCCACCCCACCCCCTCGAGAAAATCCTAAATCCGCCCCTGTATACAAACAAGCAAAATTAGTGTCTTGTTAAATTTTGCTAGATTTTCATTGCTTTTATACAGGGGCGGATCTTGGATTTTCTCGAGGGGAGATTTTCAAAAAATTATCGAAAATTTTGACGACCTTTTTTTTTAGGTCGACCAAATTGATTTTCCAAGCTCTGCCAAAGCAGTAAAAAGACCCTGTTTTGGCCAAATTTTCTGCGCCGCATGCAAAATTTAAAAAAAACAGGTCAAAAAGTCGTTTTTGGGCACTTTTTGGAAATTTTTGACAAAAAATCGCGTTTTTTTGGCGCGCACTCCCCCTCGAAGAGTTATTTCTTGGCGCCTTTAGAAAACTTTTAGGGTCAGTCGGCCACAAATAGATTTCTTAAAAATTACCAAAGGGGGGACCCTTTGGGTCGGCAGGGTGTCAAATCCCTGAAATAAGGGAAACGTCCCCCCCCCCCCCCCCCCCCCTAAATCCGCACCTGCTTTTATATAATTGTTACATAATTATTTTGGCAAGTATGTGCTCTCCCGAAAACTTTGACCAAAAATGAAAATGATACCCAAAAGTTGTTTTTTGGCGCGCGTTCTCTCAATAAGTGTATTTTCGGCGCGTTTAGAAAAATTTTACGGTTGAACAACCAAAAATGGATGTAAGTGAGTACCAAAGGAGGAATCCAGGGAAAACATTGGCAACTTGAACTGAGAGATAAGTCAGTGCACCACCCCCACCTCCCTCCTCGACGCGCTTTTGATTGTAACTATTTTTCGACATAATAGCTATACTCAGATTGTTTCTTAAGAGTAATGAATGTAGTGAGTACTCTTATATAGGTCTTGGTGATTTTTGTTGGTTTTTTTTCAAGAAAGTTAAAATTTGTTCACGCTCAATTTTGATTTTTCGCGGTTTGATTTGTGATTTCTTTTTAAGTTCAGTGCATTTCTATTATTAAAAGGAGGGCAAACTCCACTATAGAACAGCAAAAGTGTAAAGGTCACGAAAAACGTGATCGACTTCTAATTTCGAAAATGGAAATTAATTATCAGTTTTCTCAGCGAAATAAAAGTTTTACCTATTGTTTCAGTTTTCTCAATTTGGGTTAATTTTAACATAAAAGTGTCCAGCATAAATTGTTCTACAAATTCAAAGAGGCTATCTATTTGTTTTTCTTCGAAGTTTGAAGATTTTTGAAAAAACAAGTTGGTTTTTTTTCAGTTTCCTTGCGTGCATCACTCTTTTATAAATTGTCAGTTGGCTATGTTTTTGTCTTCTGGTTGAGAAAAAGTAAAATGCGGAAAAAATGGTTGAATAAATTTGTTGTCTCATCTAATTGATAAAGCAGAAGAATTCTCATTTAAGCAATTCTACATGAAAAGAGTCAAGTGTTAAAACGAAGTTAAACCTTGTGTATCAGATTATCAAATCTATCTGCGTCGTGTTTGAAAGTGTGGTTTCGATTTTTGCCATGGTTGTTTCAGGGGCTGCGAGAGACAGAGTCGTGGGCATTGCAGTGGAGCTGGCAGAAAGGTATAGGAAAGTAGGTGAGTCATTTCTTTTTGTTTTAATTGGTGTAAAAGGCGGTGATTTTGATACTTGATCAAATCAAAAATTCTAGTCGTTTCAAATCGTGATGACTAAGTTGAGCTGATTTCTCAAGAACTCTATTTTTTTGGTTGATGTGATTGTAGTCTCGTAATGAAAAAAGCTCTTCGTTTTGTAAGATGTAGTTAAGTGCGGCCGAAAAACTGAGAGAATCCCAGAAAGAGTTTGAGACCGTTGAGGTATGTTTCATTTCATCGCCAATGAGGGACCACTCCAAATAACACGTTCAGTTCGACTATAAATATTGCAATTAGTTCCAACTTATAGCAAAACAATGTAGTTAAAATGTTTCTATTTTGTGTAAGGCTTCGTGGGAAACCAGACAGTGTTGAAGACATTCTACCTGCTGTTGGACTTGGTGACCTTCTTTGACCTCTTCCACTCTCGCAATCTGGACGAGGCAATGGAGGTATATAAACTTGATAGAATATTTGAAGTTCTTGTTTGATTAAGAGTCGATGAACTTAGTTTACACTTTTATATGTCGCGATGATTTTTTTTTGGATTTTTTAAGGAAAATTCTTAAAATAGGTTCAGGCTCAAATTTACTTTTCCGTTCAGTTCATTTCCTTTGATAGAAGGAAGGCTAACTCCACTATCGAACAGCAAAAGAACAAAGGTCACGAAAAACATGATCAACTTCTAATTTCGGAAGTCGAATTTAATTATCGAATATATCAGCGTGCTCGTTGCTTGAGGGTGAAGCAACATTACCCAGCCCAGAAAAATAACCAAAAACAAATGCCTGTAGTTCTTAAACAGGGGCACAACAGCGGTTCCCCCGTGGATAAATTGTCTTAATAAAAATTTTATTTACCCTCGTTGGTTTTTGATGCAGGTGCAAAACAATCATAAATTGTTCTAGAAGTTCAAAGATCTCTTAGGCCATATATTATTTTATTGGAATTTTGAGCTTTTTTCAAATAAACAAGTCGGTGTTTTTTTTTCTGTTTACTTGGTTCATTGACTCTTTTCCAACTGTCTGTTTATGTTTTGAAATGCAAATAACATGTCTCAATTGGCGCAAGGATCTTTCCCAGCAATCAGTCTATTGTTTTGAAATAGGTAGCAGAGCGACTGAATCTAGTACCAGTAGTTGACCAAGCAGTGGGCATTGAAGGATCCGGACTGGGTATGGGGTCCGCAGATGGAGGCACAGGAGGGAGTAATGAGAGTGCCCAGCTGGAGCGGATGCTGAACAACTTCGCCTCTGTGTCTGAGCAGGTCAAACAGTGTCTGCCTCACACCCTGTTGTGTTGCATGAAGATCATTGCTGCTAAATATGCCAAGGTCAGTGCAATTTTTGTAATTAATACGCGATAATAGGCCCATACAAAAGCTTGAAAGCTATTTATTGAATAATAGCTACATGTTACGCGAATACAGAGTGATGTGGTTTTTCATAGATGAATAACCGCTTTAAGTGAATATGCTCTAGTGAGAAACGGTAGCAGACTCAAAATTTTACATTCGGTGTTCGATCCCCACAGTAACTGAAGGCTTTTTTAAGAGTCGTTGAACGTAGTTCAGACTCATATAGGTCGTGATGATTTTTCTTGTTTTTTTTTCCGGAAAAGTCTTAATTTGTTCAGGCTCTAATTTACTTTCCGCTGCTTAGCTGTTTGATTTCGTGTTAAGTTCACTTACTTTTTTTTGAAAGAAGGCAAACTCCACTATCGAACAGCATAAGTGTAAAGGTCACGAAAAACGTGATCGACTTCTTACTGCGAAAATGGATTTTAATTATCGAATTTCCCGGCGAAATATAAATTTTACCAATTAATTCAGTTTTCTCAAATTGGGTTAATTTTATAAAAGTGTTAATTGCGTTCAATGACTTTTTTCCAGCTGTCTGTTGGCCATGTTTTTGCAAATAGGCGTACCACTGAATACCAGCATCAATGATTTTTTACACCCCTAAGCTACGCTGTAAAGTTTCCATACAAATATTGTTTGGACCTGCTAGTTTTGCGCTCTATGACAAAGTTAGATAAAAACAGAATATTGTAGAGCACCTGTTTGTTTTTCAGCTGGCAAACTCTGGCGTTAGTTCCACTCTGCCCTCCGGTCTCACCCCCGCCTCCCGCTCGGGTGGGGACAAAAGACGCCAACTGAGGATTCAAGCTCGACTGCTGACTACTTTTGTGGGTCGAATACCTTACACTCTACCATCACACATCAACTCACAATTGGCACAAATGGAACTGGAAATGAACTGAGATGACCTTTGTTGGTTGTTCACATTTGAACTGTTAGTGTTACTGATGGTGTCCACCGAATGATGATAAATGTATTCTTATTGTGTTTGATCCCAAAACTATAGCGATAATTGGTTGACAGAATGTTCGAAAACTTAGCGTCTGAATGCGATGAACCCAATAGCGAGACATTAATGCCAATGTTTCTAACGATTGTGAAGTTTTCCAAAAAACACAGATACGTGATAATGAAAATTGTGAATGAAAAACTCAACTTTCTTTTGATTTTGATTGATAGTGATTTATCTTTTTGTCTGTTAATTTATTTTAATACTGTTAATTTTTGCCTGGCTTTGCTAGTTGAATTTGTAAAGGGAACGGATGATAGCTTGACGGATATTTTAAAGGTCTAATTCGTTATGTTCCATCAGTATGCTTAAGAAAATGGATCATTTTGAACTAATTTTCGTCATCAGAGCGAGCTCAGAATATAGTTGAACTCGTACTATGCGCATCTTTATTGAGATGTTTAAGAGTCTCTTGAAAATTCATCTGTCTCTTGAGTTTTCAACAGACTCTCTTGATTTTAAGAGTCTCTTGAAAACTCATCAGATAAAGTTTCTTAATTCATAAAAGCAAAACCTAATTTTAAAGTGTTATTTTTAGGTGAGTTTCATGTTTAAGAGTAATGAACGTAGTGAAATTCTTATATCGGTGGTCTTGCAGATTTTGTTTTGTTTTTTTTTCAGGAAAAAGTCTTGAAATATTGATGCACTTGTGTATAATGAACTTTTTGAGTTCAATTGAAATTAAACTGCTGAAAGTGACATAAATAGCGCTCTCCAAATACGAACGAGGAAATGGCGCGAAAAACGAACGATTTCTACTTTCGAAAGTGGAATTTAATTTTCAGATTTCCCAAGGGAAAAAAACTATCTATTGATCCAGTTTTATCAAGTTGGTTTTATGATATCAAAAAAATGCCAGTCATAAATTGTTCTAGAAATTCCTAGAACTTAAAGGGCATCCATTTTTTTGTTGAAATTCGAAAGTTGAGATTTTTCAAGAAAGTCTGTGTTTTTTTTTATGTTTACTTGCGTTCATTACTCTTTTCCAATCTTCAATTGGCTATGTTTACCTTTTTGTGGCCAAATTGATTCAAAATTGTAAGAAATTTGATAGATTTTGATTGAGGAAGTAAAAATCAAGGGCAGTGTAATAAATTCAGTTCTACGCAGAAAATGATCTTAGTTTCGAAGTTGATCATTCAAAAAGCAACACGAGTTTTGATTTCTGTTCGGCTAACAGTAAATTGTAAGATAAGAGTTCTCCAGGGGTGGATCTTAAGTTTTCTCGAGGGGGCGGGAGGAATTTAAAAAATTTCGAACATTTTGACATTTTTTAGGTCGACTAAATTGATTTTCTGAGCTCTCCCAAATGACTGATGTAAAGACTATTTGACCAATTTTCTGCGTCGCACGCAAATTTTTGAAAAAAGAACAGGACAGTAACTGCGTTTTAGGTAGTTTTTTGGAAAGTGTTGACGTGGGCTACCCCTTCAAACTTAGTATATATTGGCGCTTTTAGAAAAAGTTAAGGGGCGGTCAGCTAAAACGGATATCCCAAAACAGTACAAAGGGGGACTGTTTGGGTCGACAGGGGATGGAATCCCTGAGTGAGGGGAGGGGTGCACCTCTCCTTTTAACTCCGCTTATGTGGTTGTCATAGCGAAACATAAATTTTAAAAATGAGTTAGTTTTTTAAATGACAATTTTTTAAAGTTTTTTTTCCCCACTTAAAACCTTGTATATTAATTCAAGCGCTAAAGCTTGTAATGTCCAGTGACTCTCGAAAATTTGTTCCGTAAAATTGTTTTTATACTTTCTACCGAGCTGCTCAACACTGACATGCTCCAAGACTGACATGCGCAATTTTTTGAAAATAAAACAAACTACTTTTTAGTGCATGTGGGGATTTAATAGTTTTTTCAAATGTCGATTTTTGTTGTATAAGTGATTTTTGTCATAAATTCTGCCGGCTGATTTTCCTTTTTTCATTTGTAAATTATAATATCTAACAAGTTTTTCAAGCGGCACTATATAACTGAAAGTTGCTGTGTTAGTGAATTTACCAACTCTGATTATTGATACTTTGATAACTTTTTAGATTTTTTTCCGGCGTACGTTATATCGGCTTAGCCAGCTTACGTTGCTCAGTTTCAAGAGCGAATTGTCTGTGAAACTCTTGCTTGTTTCAGCAAGGATTAGTCATAAAACATTTACTTAAAATTTTTTTAGCTCGAATTTTTCTTAGTCGTTATTTTCGCTTTCGTCTTGAAGATCAACCCAAAAATTTTCGTCTTAATTGCCGCTTGTTCCTTGGTTTTCAATGCTTGTTAGTGCTGTTTTTTTCCGAGACAAGAGTATGGAATTTGGACTCGTTTCATTTATTTCTCTGTCAATGCACACAACCGTTTCTTGGGACCAAAACTTTAAGATTAATTGAACGTAGTTCAGACTCTTATATATGTCGTGATGATTTTTTGTTTCATTTTTCGTTCAGGACAAGTCTAACAACTCATGAAAGGATATATAAATTCCCTTACAAAAATGTGCACTTTTGAGTTCAACTTAAGTTCCTTTGAGCAATTTCTAGTTTCGAAACTGGAATTTAAATTCAGTCCGTTTTGTTTTATTCTTGGTGTTCACAGACTCTTTTCTAACTGTCTGATGGCTATGTTATAAAAATGCAAAAGGAGTTATTGATTTGTTCATTCCAATTTACCTCGTGGTCGAAGTCTTTTCAAAAATATTAAGATATGTATTACAACCTAAAGCGTCTTGAATTACATTTTAAACTTGGCTCTTTTTTTCTTGTATGCTCCTCCCTCAACCTCTCGTAACCATAGATTTTACAAAGTTAAGTATGACGACCTACTATGTCTGTCATAGGGTAACTAATCCGCATGTCAAAATGAATAGAAAAATTTCCTATGAGAAATAGCATGATGGGGATTGAGGTTGAAAAAAACAGCCTCATATGACCTTCAATGTCCTAAAGTTCAAACTGTCAGGAAATTTAGCTAGATTTTTTTGAATTATAAGGTTTTTTATAAGGAATAATAATAATTTTTTCGAAGTTCTGATTCTCTGTCCGTTCGTTTTTTGTATTACATCATACGAAATAATGCTATTGATCTGCTTGCAAAACCTGGATATAAATTGGGAGAAGTTAAATTCTCCCTTTCTTGCTAAAAATTCTTTTGTTTGTTTGACAATTCTCTTTTTGTTCATTGAATGAAATATGTTTTTTAAAGAATGCATGTTTGTGTTTGCTTTTTGCAAAAACGGTCAACTTTAAAAGAAAACATGAAATCTGTTAGCAGTTTTTCTAGTTTTTTACGCATTATAACTGGTATGAATTTTTGTTTCACTAAGGGTTCGGCTCTGTCTTTGGATTTTTAAGCGTCGATGAGCATAGTGAGATGAATATAGGTCATAATGAGGTGTGATGAGTTTGAAGAAAAAACTCAGAAATCGTCCTGGTCCTGTTTGATTTGCTGCATTTTGGCTTCCGATTTCTAGTTTTAAGTTGAATTCAATTTCAACCGCAAAAAAGAAAGGAAAATTATTTTTTTTACTTCGGATTTTTTTTTTTACATATGATGTTATGGCTCTCGGATTAGTCAAATTTTTGAATTTGGACCGTTTTTAAACTTTTTGAATACTCTCGAAAATTATTATGCTATATTTGATGTTTTGGGTTCAATCAAACAACGCATTGTGGGCAGCTCATTGCCTTCTGCGACCATTTTCAAGTTTTTCTGACACAAAAGTTATGCCCCTCGGAAAAGACAAAACTTCAACTTTTGACATTTTTTTTTGAAAATTTGACATTTCTTGAGATCTACCTTCCCAAGTTTAAGATTTTGGGTTCAATGGAAATAACAGGTTGAGTGAATCCCTTCTGCATCAGCGGCTACGCCCTGTTTTTTATATTCAAAGCTATGATTTTCGGAAACGTCAAATTTTTCAATAGTTGACTGTTTCTTGGACTTTTCTCGCTTACTATCCTGCTAAATTTGGTATCATAGTTTTAATCGAGACAACAGGTTGTTGAAAACCTACCTTCATAACAAGCAAAGCCCAATTTGTTTGATAAAAAGTTATGGCTTTCACACAAGACGAATTTTTGAAACTTCCACAGTTTTTTGCAAACTGTCGAAGTTTTGAAACTTAGACAGTTTTTTGCAAACTTTTTGACTTTACGCAAAAACTACCGTGCCATTTTACAGGTTGTGCTCAATCGAGAAACCCAGTCATGGCAATTTTTTCTGCTTAAGCGGCCACAAACTGCTCTGTGTTGGAAAAAGTCTTGGATTTTGGAAACCTTTGAATTTTTTGAATTTTCTTAAAATTTACAAAATCAAGTCTGAGATGAAAGGTTCAACTGATAGAAATGGTTGCGATATTGTTTCTGGCAGAAGCGGCAACTCCTTGATTTTTGAAGGAGAAAATTTATCTCCTTTTAAAAACTGGTTATCTCAAAATTTTTTATTCATCTCAATTATTATAGTAGAGAAATAACCAAGTCCAATTTTTGAAATCACATTTTTTGTGCTGCATCAGTACAACAATGTCGTTCAATATCAAACACATGCCTCCAGATTTGGCTGTTCCGTAGTTATTTTCTACCTAGAATTACGAAAATTTGGTTCACTTAGTTTTTTTCAACATTTATAGTATATTTTTTAAGGTTTATGTTGTATTGCAAATGGTGCGAAGCTCCGCTTCGCCTATGTGTAAAAAGTTCACTTTTTTAAAACCCGTCTAGCAAAAGAAAGTTTTGTTGTATCTGCTATAATTGTGGCTAACATTCGAAAATTTTACAGCGACCATGGTGCAGTTGCGTGGATGTGAGACTCTTAATTTCCAAGTCGGCCGGCAAAAGAAATTTTCGACGCTTTTTTGCAAAATATTTTTTTTCTAGCAGAGGCAATTAAATAGCCTCTGTTGTATCTGCGTTATTGGTGGCTAGTATCTGCAGATTGAATTGAAAAGTGCCTATGACGCAGATGCGTCGGAGTGAGACTTTTCTCCAGGTTGGGACTTGATTCGGGTAATTTTTTTCTATTGATCTTAGTAACTTTTTCGTTCGATTTTTGATCAGTATTAAAGCTAATTTTCACTATTTTATCGCTTGTGTTTTTGAAGTGCATCTTCTCTTCTGTGTAGAAAGTTTGTACAAAATTTCTTAACTGTCGTTGTGATCTATTAGGTTTGGACTTTTTCTTTAGAACAGTTTTTGATACTATTTATTGAGTGTAAGAGAACAAAATGATTTGTTTTTATGTATGTCTTATTTTAATTTCTTTTTTTTTAGAAAAACAAAACTCTAAAACCAACAGATGTGAATTTGTCCATGAGAAGCAGTTATGAATGTACTAATCTATTTATGCTTTTTTTTGAGTTCAATTTGAACAAACCTACTAACATAAAGTAAATCGCATTGGATTTCATTTCAGAGATTTCCCAGCGCAAAAATACGTTTTCCTAAAATTGATTAAATTTATCAAAAAGGTGCCAATCTAAATTTTGATTTTTTTTTTCAAAATTTGAAAATTGAATAGCGTTGTTCAAAAAATTGATTCAATTTTTCTTTCGTTTTTTTTTCAATACCTGAACATTTTTCCAATTTTCTGTGGGTTTTTTTGTTTTCCAGTGCTGTCTTCAATATATGCCCAATGAAGATCTAGAAGGTCAGCGTCTCAAAAAAAAATGCGCAAAACCTTCAAACTTTGTTTGGGTTTTATATAAAAAACGACATTTTTTTTTGGTTATTAAGGAAAAGTATATTCTCTTATACAAGCTCATGGAGGTTTTATCCTTCTACCAACTTGTTGGGCTGTGTAGGAGGCTCTTTTTCATGTCGTTTTCTTTTCAATTAGTTTGGTAGTTACAGCTTAAGTTTTGATTAACTAAAAAACCAAAAAAGGTAATTTTGGTTCCGCAGGACAGGGGAATTGTGAGTTTGGCGGACAGGGAAATTATATCGCCTGAAGTTGTAGACCCTAATTTGAAACTTATCTCAACTCTTACCGATCCTAAAAGTGCATGGTTGCTGTTTTTAAATTCACCTGCTAGAAATTATTCCCCTTGCTTGACCAAAATTGTCAAAACCCACTGTGGTGTCCCAAATAACCTTATTCGTATGTGTTTCAAGAACTTCTGGAACTCAGAACTATCTACTCAAATTTAGGTGGATTGCATCCTCGCTGTAATAATTAGGCATTGGAGTTTGTTTTAATTGTAAGTGACAGTGATAACGGAAAAAATTTCAATTCTACAACCGATGGCAGTTTTTTGGTCTTCTTGAATACGTTCAAGGGATTTTCCTCAAGTTTTAAACATAAATTCAACTGTTTTTTTTTACTGTTCTGCGACATCTAGTATAGCTCAAAAAAAACTTGGACCATGTGAACAATACCCCCCTGCCAAGTTCACTTGGTTGTTTTTTTTCCGCAAATTGAAGGATGCGAATTTTCTACCAATCAAAAAGCAGAATTCCGAGAGAAAAGAAAAATAACGTGAGCCTGCTATAACCCAACATTTTTTAAGACGTGTCTACTCTATGAAAAAGTTGCGCAAAATGCTTTAAGATTGTTTTAAAAAGGGGGGGGAGTTCACATGGACTATTAATAGCGTTTTTTTGCAAAGGACTATGCAATAGATTTCTAAATTTTCTGACCGCCTTTGTGAAGTTCTGAACTAAAACTTATCTTGGCTCTTTTCCAGTTTCCCCCCTTTCAAAATACCGAGTTTTATGTTTGTTTTACGTGTTATTACGGCTAAACGCGTGATGTTACGCTGTAAAACATGAAGAACAAATCTGTTAACAGTTGTCGATTTGTTCACCACCCCAAATTTCATTGCATTATGACAACGTTAAATAAGCTTTTCCTTTGCCGCCAATATTTACTAAGTTTGAGGGAAAGCTCGCGCAGTTTGGCCTCGTTAGGTCTAAACTTTCCAAAAGTGCCTAAAAACGCCTTTTTTGCCCTCGTTTTTCAAAATATTGCCTGCTCCGCAGAAAAATTGGCCAAAACAAGCAGGGTCTTTTTAGTGCAGTGGGAGAGCGCGCAAAACAAGGTCGACAAAATTTTCGAAAAACTTATGCCCTGCCATCGTTTTCAGAAGTTTTGGCTCTTTTTCCTTTTTCCCCCACCTCACACAAGCTTCAATACATTAGTGTAACGAGAGGTGTCACGAGGTTGAGTATGAAGACCGAATATGTTTGCCGTGGCCTTATTAGTCTGTATGTAAATTTTCATAACAATCAGACAATGTGGTCAACAAATTTACATGTAAAAATTGGCAGGTGGGGGAAAAAAAAGAGCCAAGATCCCTTATCTTTGATGGTAATAATTTGTGCTACTGGTCTTGATCTATATAAATTTGACAATTTCTTAATTAAAACAAGTTTTTGTTCAGTCTAAGCTTATTTTGCAACCAAGAGTGCACGTGCTGATATGATCTAAGCATAAAACTACTCGTGATTTTTACAAGAACAAAACAACAAGTCAATTGAATAGAGCGACATATTTTGTCCTCAAAAAAGAGTTCTGGATAATATCGAATGCCTACAATAAAAGGTCCCTCCAGAATCACAGGTTTCAAATCGAATCGATACAAAAGTTCAACTTTTTTTTGAAAAACTCGCTCTATAACAGGGGCGGATTTAGGGGGGGGGGGGGCGGACGCCTTTTTCTCAGGGATTCGACCCCCTGCCGACCCAAAGGGTCCCCCTTTGATACTTTTTCAGAAATCCATTTTTGGCCGACCGACCCTAAAGTTTTTCTAAAGGCGCCTTGGGCGCCAATATATACTAACTATATATTTAGTAATATATTTAGCGGCGCAGTAAATTTGGTCAATACATGGACAAAAAAGTGCTTTGGGAGAGCTCGAAAAATCAATTTGGTCGACCTAAAGAAAGGTTGTCAAAATTTTGGAAAATTTTTTGAAAATCCGCCCCCCCCCCCCTCGAGAAAATCCTAGATCCGCCCCTGCTCTATAACATATACAGAGTAGTACAAAAACACTAAGTTTTGTCACTATAATTTAGATGCTAATTCTTGACAAAACCCAAAATTTTCATGTGATTTTCTAGGAGCAACATACTGTATGCATCGCGGAATACAAACGTACAAGTTTGCGTAAATTCAAACTTTATTCATAAAAGTTAATTTTTCCTTATTTTTTTTAATTTTTCATTTTTTTTCATAATGCCTTCTTTCATTCACCTGATTTTTTGAGTATCCCTTCCACAAAGTCATTTAAAATGTAGTGGCTGCGAGATTTACATTGATGCAAAAATTGAAGTGTGATAAAAATCTGGGATGTTTTCGTTATACCACTAAACCCCCCCCCCTCCCTCCCGCTAAAACTAATCCAAACAAAATCTGATCCAATTATAAGTGCAGTTCCTGTCATATTAAAATTTTATTCATTTGATCACCACTTCCACGTCTTCTCTGGCTTTCATGAACCTGCAAATGCTCTTCGGAGTGTCGGCTGCTTCCGGCACTTCGCATGGTTGAACGGGACGGCGCCGCAACAGTTGGATCCGGGGGAGGGTTGGGGGGTTTGCTCACTCCTTTGAAAAACTCCCCTTTGCGCTTAAGTTTCCCAAATAGGGTGATGAGTCGCTCGATTAGAAGGGCGGGAACTGCGATTACGGTGAATATGAGAAGCACGCTGCCCATCTGGATTTCCTGGACAAGGAGGTAGGTGTCTGATTCCCAGCCGATCTTGAACTCGGTCATATTCGGATTCGAGTGTTTGGTACGACTTGTCTGCGCCGTTATAAAAGTGTTCACCTGAAGTTGCAAAAAAATGACTGAAAAAATTTAAGTTAAGTTGTTGAAAACTTCTGAAAACGTTGGCAGGGTATAAGTTTTTCGAAAACTTTGTCGGCCTTGTTTTGCGAGCTCTCCCACTGCACTAAAAAGACCCTGCCTGTTTTGGCCAGTTTTTCTGCGGAGCAGGCAATATTTTGAAAAACGAGGGCAAAAAAGGCGTTTTTAGGCACTTTTGGAAAGTTTAGACCTAACGAGGCCAAACTGCGCGAGCTTTCCCTCAAACTTAGTAAATATTGGCGGCAAAGGCGCCTCGAGATATTAATTTTTGGCTAACGGATCCTAAAATTTTTCTAAAAATAGTACAAAGGGCAGGGGCGGATTTAGAGGGGGCGGGGGGGGGGGGCGGACGCCCCCCCCCCACCCCTTAAGGATTCGACACCCTGCCCTTTGGTACTTTTTAAGAAATCCATTTTTGGCCGACCGACTCTAAAATTTTTATAAAGGCGCCTTTGGAGCCAATATATACTAACTTTGAGGGGGAGCGCGCGCCAAAAAAAACGCGATTTTTTGTCAACATTTTCCAAAAAATGCCCAAAAACGGCTTTTTTGACCTGTTTTTTCAAAAATTTGCCCGCGGCGCAGAAAATTTGGCCAAAACAGCGTCTTTTTAGTGCTTTAGGAGAGCTCGGAAATGAATTTGTTCGACCTAAAAAAAGTCAAAATTTTTGAAAATTTTCTGAAACCCCCCCCCCCCCCCCCCCTCGAAAAAATCCTAGATCCCAATCCCTGAGATATTGAATATTGAACATCTAGACCCGATTTGTTTTAATTTTACCTCATCTGCTACCTCTCCGATTCCCAGATAGATTCTTTTTTCCAGTAGAATGGTGTTGTAGTGTCCAGAAGGGTTGTACGGCAAAGGCCGGTTGATAAAATGCGTCTGATAGAACTGGTCTATGTACTGTTGACCCATCGCTGCAGCTTCGAAGAATCGGGCCATACCGGCGCCAAAAGGGGTCGTCGCGATGGTCAGTCCCTCGATACCCGGGTGTGTGCATACGTAATATAGGTACTCTCCATTCCCTCGATCGCCGGGGATTTCATAGAAGTTATCCCAATACGGTTGTTGGGTGTTGTTTCCGATGCCAACCATGTTTGTATTAATCGGGTATGGAGTTCCGGTGCAGTTCTGGACATACGCCGGATCCCTGGTCCTTCTCAAAGAGCAAACACATAAGGAGTGCAGCGCCACCGAAACTGCTCCTAGTTTAAACCCCCGGAACGAGACCATGGCCGGGTCATAAATACCGTTCGCGGCGTCCAGGTACTTCAACTGACTCTGAGTTTTGCCCAGAACCGAGAAAAGATCGATCACATCTTGAACGACAAGGTTGATCAAAAAAGCACTGAAGAGCAGAAGAAACGTGATTGCTGCAAAATCCCACCGGTTGACCATAGCAGTTTTTTTCAAATTTTTGGTTGATTTTTGAAATACAAGCTTGAAAAAGAAGAACCAAATTAATTTAAATTACTTTAGAGGTTGAAAAAAAAGAACCAATCAGAATAAGATACTCTTCGTGTCACAATTTTTGAAGATAATTATTTATTTATACCGAAAATCAGAATTCTGACGCGTTTGGCAAACACCAGAATACATTATAAGCTGAAATATCTTCATTAATAATTATAATCTGTAAGGTCGTAAATGTCGTATTCGTTTAGCTGCTGAGATTTCTTTCATCGTGCCAGTTTTTTGTCAATATTTTTGATAGGTGTGGAATTTTTTCATCATAAATCGTCGGGTATGTTTGTGAATAATTGAAGAAATTTTACCCAGGCAGGTGACTTTGCTTTTAAATTATGCATAATTTCTGAAACAAAGCACGGTTTCTATTCGATCGGATGTTTTTGTTCCTTGGCAGCGGAAATCCAAAGTAACAACACCCCACCTTTTTCACGCTTCTTTATTCTGATTTGTTAATTTTGAAGTTTTATTCAAACTAGAAATGTTGGAATACAAAGAGCATCGAATTCAAAATTGACTTATCTAAAATAAACAAATAAAAACAAAATCGCTAGTCTGTAAAAAAAACTCATCATAAATTTTGTTCAAATTGGTAATAAATGGTGTAAAAGTATTATGGTTTGTCTATTTAACCTCTGATCTTAACTTACCGCCGACCTTTAGTTGTTAATTTATATACCTGCCAAAAGCGCATCGGCTTTTGGTAGACTCTGAATTGGACACTATCTTTTATGATACGTAACAAAACAAACGTAACCAATTCAATCTTTTAACACGTATTTTATCTTAGTTAGAATCCCCGTCTTTTATTTAGTCTTAAATAAAAGCCTACAATTTTAGTAGGAATCTTAATCATCCACAGTCTTAATCTATTCCTAGTTTAAGTCACTCTTGTACAACACGAGTGGTATCCTAATTTTTTAACATGGCGCAGTCTAATGAATCAAACCTACGCGGATTAGAGTTTTTCTGGAACAACTCATCAAATGAAAATCAACATGACTGGGAAAGGTGGGCGGAAAAATTCCAACTGACAATTATTGCGAAAGATTCCGTAGACATCGAAGATGTAATTAACCCACCGATAAGAGATGAACTAATTTACCCTATGGCAGAACCATTGGACACATCCGAGGATCAGACCCGTCGGGCCGAACAAGAGGAACGTCATAGAGTAGCAGTACAAAATTACAACGAAGAATTAAGAAGGAGAAGAGCGGAAGATAACGCCAAATTCAACGGACTTCAAATAGGAGATATTGACAAGAAGCTCAAATCACAGCTATACCTAGCACTCGGGAAAGAAGGACAGAAATGCAGTTATCGAAACAAGACCTAATTCTGAAAAAGATAATCAAGGCAATCGAGGAAGATAGAAAACAGGATATCCTACAACTCGGAAATTATTATAAGTCATATTTGAATAATCTACATGTCAGCGGAGGATGCCTCTATTTGGACAACCGTTTAGTAATCCCAGCATGCCTAAGATCGACTATGCTGAACAGACTACATGAAGCTCACCCCGGCCAGTTCGCAATGAAAAGCCTGGCAACACAATACATCTGGTGGCCGAAAATTTACCGCGAAATCCAAGTCCACGGTGAAAACTGTATAGAGTGCGTAAAAGCAGGTAAAAATCTGAAGCCTCTTATAAAACACAATACCCTAGGGAAACTCCCAATGGTCGAAGAACCAAACCAAGAAATGGAATTAGATTTCGCTGGCCCGTTACCTTTAGTATGGGGAACAAAAAAATACATATTGGTGTGTGTAGACAGATTTTCAAAATTCCCATCAGCCCAAATAACATCCAGTACATCGGCTAAATCTATTATTAACTTCCTTAGTCGATATATCGCTTTACACGGGATACCTAGGACAATTAGAACAGATCAAGGATCTGGTTTTATCTCCAAGGAAGTTAGAGAATTTTGCCACGATCACAACATAAAGGTGATATTTAGCCCAGTGGGTGATCACAGAGCTACCGGATTAGTGGAACGTCTAATCAGGACTATTAAGGAACGACTCCTGGTGATGGCACAAGAACGCCCAAAACCTTCTTTAGAATCTGCACTCCTGAAAATAATAAAATGCTTAAGAACAGTAACTCAACAGTCGCTTAACTGCTCTCCTTTCGAAGCACATTTCGGTAGATCCCCAAACACTATCTGGCATAATTTGGTTAAATCACCTTCTTCGAATAACCTTGACTGGAATAAAACTTTGTTATGTATAGATAAAGGCAAAAAACTAATGAGCCGAGAGCGAAGACATGACTGGGACGCTCCTGACGACATTGAAGATGGAGATGCCGATGAACATTCATCATCCTCGGAGGATATCTCAAATGCAGTGAGATATGTACCAACAAGTGCTGGATCCCCAGTAAAAGTCCTCTCCCGGTCAGAAAAAAGAGATGCCTTGGGCATAAAGGACTCGATTCTGAACAACCCGTCGGGTAAGACCATTGTTTATCGAAAAATCCAAGATAGAATGAAAAATGAACCATACTATAGAATACTCAAGGACGAAATTGTAAGAGAATCAGATCACACCGTGACTCTAAAAAATGGGAAAATAATACGTAAATCTGATTTAGCCATTAAAAGACAGTGCACTCAGAAGAAACCAAGTCCGAGAAAACGAGACCAATTAGTCAGATTTTACGCGACCAAAGGACTTAGGAAAACAGCAAAACCTCCAAGAAATGTCGGATTCAAAAGTTCAAAAACAACCCAGAAGAAACGAAACCTTCAGTGGAAATTTGAAGAGCTTGACATTGCGAGACGAAACGCGGCCATGAACAGTTCTAGGGAAACTCTTCTTAGAGAGGAAGAAGAACAGAGAAAGAGACTGAGAACACCGATTGGCCTCGAGATTGACCAAGAACCAAGCCCGTCGGGTAAACCCGAACTTCTTAAAAGTTATTTAAACGAACCCGGAGTGACGATTGACTCACATGAAGATATGTCAGATGATAATGCGAGTGACTTAATGACACTAAGAGACCTCAAGGAGAAAACACTGCTCGAAACCACGAAACGAGACGAACCACTAATGCCCGACCGAACAGATCCTAAGTTAGAAATATCAGACCACGCCGACCAAAAGGTCGAGTTAGATGAGATTCCTTTGATCAACTTGGATTCCGGTGACAATGAAAGAGACTCTCAAGCGACCCCACAGCTGATCCTCTTAGACACTAGGGAGGAGAGTAATGAAGCGACCCAAGAAATGCCGGTACCTTCAGAGAATCCCGGAGTAAAGTTCCCTAAATCTACTGGAGATCAAACTACCATGGCGGAGATGGGACCGAAACAAATACTTTCTGACCACACTACAAAGTCACAGAAATTGTCCGGTACTGCTAAAAGGAAAGCCTCATCCCCAATGAAATCACCACCCTCGAAAAAACTATCGGAAATTTTTACACGTCAAAACACGAGACCCATGCGAACCAGGCAGCCCCCCAAGATGCTAGGTGAGAGAGTATTTACCAGTATAGTCGATCTAACTGAGGAAGACCGCGATGCCCCAGAATTCGGTTCACCTAATTTAGTCTCAGTGTGTTCAACGTTGGAAGCAACTACGGTAGAAAGCCATCATGTCGACCTAGTAGACCTGACAACATTAACACCACCTTCATCATCACGCCCTACCATAGTTCACTTGCGGGAAGATATCGACGCGTACTCAAGTGACCCAAAGCCCTCACAAACAGACGATCAAAAGAGCCCAGACAAGAACGTCAAATTTAGCCCTGATGTTTGTTCCACGCGATTTAACCCATCGGGCCTATCTAATGAAATTTCAACTCCTACATTTATACCCATCGTATCTGACCCAGACTGGCTGAACACCTCCTCTATCATTTCGGCGATAGAACTCCTTGGACGGCCAATGACGCTGGAGGAGCTAAGAAGATGGACTATAAATAAAGCAGCAAATCGGGAATCTGATTAGACGCAGGAGCTCAAAAACAGATGTCATCAAAAACATTCTCGACCTATCAAAACTCCATCGTAAAACTTTTAGCACCTATATGTTCTGTTTATTGTTTATCGCCTAACATTCCAGGACCTTAGGGTCATACAAACCTCCAGTGCTGTTATTTTAAGTTATTGTGATGATTGGTAACATTTATACCCTTGTTTTGGCCATAGAATTTTGCCGAATTCCATTAAAGTTCTGTTCACCCATGGGGCGTTACCATCGGATAACAATTAGATTTATTCATTTTGGTTATACCCAGTATTCCGCTTAATTTTACGACAACTTTCTGCATACCTTATGATCTTAGTCACCCTGGTGCTATTTCAGTTCCTTACTTGCCTATTGTCACTAACCTACAGTTAATTCTCGGCGAATACATATTATTCGATCTAAGGTGCTTTGTTTTGGAATTTTGTTTTTGTTTGACGAACATGCCGTCCGGCCCATCGGGCTCGATCATTGGTATTCCTCGTTTTGTACACCCACCCTTTACACCTGACAACCGTGTTATTCTTCTCAGTTTATAATACGCCTTTTGGGCCCTTTATCAAGTCTGTATTAACGATTCTAGATCCACTCTCGGGGGTCCTAGACAATGCGCCTACTGATTCATCCATCTTAGTGCTTAATCATTTTTGTTTTATTCCCTTCTGATGAGGCGAAAGGGATAGTTTAGAGATAAAATTTCGCGGGGAATGTAAAAGTATTATGGTTTGTCTATTTAACCTCTGATCTTAACTTACCGCCGACCTTTAGTTGTTAATTTATATACCTGCCAAAAGCGCATCGGCTTTTGGTAGACTCTGAATTGGACACTATCTTTTATGATACGTAACAAAACAAACGTAACCAATTCAATCTTTTAACACGTATTTTATCTTAGTTAGAATCCCCGTCTTTTATTTAGTCTTAAATAAAAGCCTACAATTTTAGTAGGAATCTTAATCATCCACAGTCTTAATCTATTCCTAGTTTAAGTCACTCTTGTACAACACGAGTGGTATCCTAATTTTTTAACAAATGGTAATAAGTTATAAGTGATAAGTGACTTAAGTTTTGTATGTTAACAAGAAAAAATAAGAACAAATATTTCTTTTTTATCTCATTAGAAATTTTTTTTTTGCTAAAAGTGTGCGAAAATTAATCGAATAAATTAAAATTAGAGACTGGATGGATTTTATAAGGATAAATAAATGAAATCCAAGCTACACAAACTGCAAAAAGATTGAAACTAAAATTAAACTGTGAATTATTCATAAGGGTAAGTTGAAAAATCTACCAATGAAAGCATTCTTAGCACTCGCCAAACACGCGCCTGATTTAAAGTATGTATTTAAGGTATGTATGTGAACAACTTTAGAAAAATTAAATATTTAACAAAAACCAATTTGTAAAGAGTTGACAA